AGTGAAAAGTAGTTACCTAATACATTACGTAACTTGATAGTGTTTTGTTGATTTTTTAGGGTGACCAACATTTTAAATGTTAATAGGATGGTTAAAATTAGTTGAGCGAATTGTGAGCTTTGGCAATTTTATGCTATTAATAAAAAAGTGATCATTTGAAATAAATACGTTTAAAACTATGTATTTTTAGTCCTTTTGGTAACCAAGAAACTTTTTTTAAATAAAGATATAGCCTGTTACTTACTAACGTAACTTTTTAATGGTAAAATAATTTTTAAAATAGGACAAATCTTGAGTTATTTTAATACACATAAAAATCTAAAAACACAAATCTTTCCTTTTTACAATATAAATATAGTTTCATAAATATGTTGTTACTCTATTCATGATAGGGTTCGTCGACCGGCAAAGGGTGTCAATAGGGTGGGTATCTACGGGGTAATGGGGTAACGTCTTCGCTATAAACTCTGTATGTCGCATAAATCAGGGGTGGCAAACAATTTCTAGTAATTATAAAGATTGTTTTTTTTTTAATCTTTATTTGAACATAGATAGATATCTATACTAATATTATGTTGGGAAATTAATAAAAATGACTGCAATTACTACTAAATTACATTTTAATTTTATCTAAAACAAATCACGTCATAATGTTTTTAATACAAAGTGTAAATAAAAAAATAGTTTTATGATTAACACGTCCATTTTTTTTAATTGATTTTCTGGACAAGTATAGTATAAAAATGTGGATGTTTTAACAGAAAATATTGTAAACCCCTGGTTTAGATGACAGCACGGAAAACACGCGGGCTTTGACATTACAGGAAACTAGAAGCACAGATAATATAGTAAAAGCTACGTTTTCTTTATTGTCTACTGTCCTTTTACAGCTAAATGGCGCCTTTCTTGGGTGTGGCTATGCATCGACCTATGCAGTTTACGATTTAACCTAACCTATTTCTCGACTTCTATTGTAAATTTAAATGTACTTAATTAAATTAAAAATGAAACATATAAAAATAGATAAACACATCTTATCATGTTATTTATGTTTCGTAACAGATTAAAAATTTGTTAGAAATGTTTGTTTTATTAAAAAAAAACAATGTATTTTCTTAAATTGTTCTCGATATTACATCAAAGAGATGTCACTAAAACATCATAGTCTTGTATACTCCAATTACAAGTAATTAGTTTAAAGTACAGTTTAATCGATCGTATTCTTTATCTTGTTAGCTCGGTAAATCTGTTACTAACTTCACATCGTATAACAACTCGACAATCAAAATATACACTAAATTCCTATATTGTTATCTCTTTCTTTCCAAAGAGAATAAAAAGGATGGCTGTTTTAAATAATCAACGCTTCTATTTGTTACATTAACTCTGACGTTAATAGTTATAATTGAATATATTTATATTATTTTAGGTTATAATTCGAGTTAATGAAAATATGCCTACATTAATGTTCGATAATTGCTATAATTTTTTGATAATGTAAAATGCTGCATTTTACGTTTAGTGCTACATATTTATCTATTGTTTATTTACCTAATTTATGTTCTGTTTTATAAAATCTAGATAGAAAAATAATAGACATGAATAAAAACGGTTTTTCCTAACACTAAGCAAATGTTTCAAGATAATCTTACGAAAGATTACATTTGCACATTGTTACGGTAAATCTGCAAATATTATTTCTTTTAAGATTACGCACACATTTGAATAATCGCAAAACCGTTTAGTCACGCTTTGATTCCTATGAGATTATATGGAGGTGAATACTACTCGATTTTTAGTTTTACAACTAAACAGCTGACAATCGACTATAGCGCAACTGTTGGAGCAATCGTTTAGTCAAAGATATGCTCAGTGCACGTTCTTACAATGTTGGCATGTGTTTGCTAATGACGTTAAAACAAATCTACGTTATTACAATATAGGTCACATGCTTGTTATTAAAACAAACAAGGGGAGTGCATAAATAATTTGATTAGGTCCAGAACCGTGTTTGTCGGACACAGTTTACCTCCGCGCAATCACCTTTCGCAAACACGACGCGATTGCGGTTCCGAGCCAGTGCTACAAACTTTGCCGAGCAAATAATTAACAGTGACGAAAGTATATAGCTTTTGCTTGCATATAATTTAGAAATCACCACATTAAAAACAAATCTATACCAAAATACAAAATACCTTTAGTTAATTTTGCGTAAAAAGTGAGTACTGGTCGTATGATACAAGGTAGGTTACGAACCGAATTCGCATCGAGCGGCGCGTTGCTCTCTAGTTTCTTAGTATACTATGTACTGACTACATATGTGTTGCTCGCCGTGTAACATGTAAAATTACACCGCGTAACGTCTGTCATCTATCTATACTATCATAATAAAGCGTAAACACACACTTCTTTGTTGCCTAAGATGTCAGCAATCACAGCATATTTTTGAATAATTCTTTTTTTTATAAAAAGCCCTACACTTACGTCACACTTTAGGCTATATATCATCACGCCGTTAAACTTAGGGGGTAAATATTTTGGATAAAAACCCTAAAGTGGGAAAGAGACCATAAGTTGCTGCCAACATCAAGGAAGCAAGATTGCCATAGTAAGGTAATTGGTATTTTGACATTTGCTATTGAGAATTTAACAAATGCAAACAACAAATTTATAATTCCATGCGGGTGAAGACGACAGCTAGTTACCAATACATATTTCTCGTTGGATTCTTTTATCAAGTTCTCGATCGGTGGCATGAAGATTGAAACGAAAAAATTAATTGACAACAAGTGGTCATAGAAACAGGCGCGGGCAATAAAATCCCCATCGAATGTTCTAGGAAGCGATCGTAAAACATAAACAGCAATTGTCTGAATTGAACTTTGCCTTGATATTATTTTGAAGTCGTATTTCGTTTACGATCGATTGAAAATCATAAAAATAAAGACCACACACAGTTTTTTATCGATATAAGTTTATCGACTGAAAATTGACTATTGCTTTTTAGATTTTAAAATGCATTAGCTAGCTCAATCTAATCGGAACGACTGATATGCTGCTGGTATTACATCGTAATGTATAATTAAAATATAATTCTGTTACCTAAAAAAACAATCAATTTGTCTCTGGTTATCAAATAATTTTTGAGCGGGAATTCTAACCTAACCTAACATTTATTTCAATCGTATTACTAATAAAACAATCAAGAAAGTTATTTAGTACATCGTTATTAACTGGCAACTAGTGTTATAAACAAGAACGGAAAATAAACAAGAACCAGAGATAACGATTCCTTACAGATTATACTAACCAGAGAGTACTTAACAGATCTTATTACTGTCAATAAATAAACCTTTTAATGCGCTCATTAAACTATTGGCTTGAATGTGGGAGTGGGCAGAATAAAGTCGTACAAACTTATCTGGCCCGGTAGTGGCGTTGTTATCGCGGGGTATTATTTCTGAACAAAAATTGAATACTGACTTAAACATGGAACATTTATCAAACAAGACAACTATAGTCTAACAAGGATCTTGTGACATTTTTACAGCAAGAAAGTCGCAAATAATTTAGTTTAAAAATGGCCCACAAAGTTTTTTTTTATATCTATTTAAAGAACCACGTGCTTTGGACTATTATCCAATGAGTGGGATGCACAATGCAAGGTTGCAGATTAACTCAATTGCCTTTTAAGTATTGTGCAGAATCCTGGAATAGACGGGCGCGGCAATGACAAGTGAATAAAGAAAATTAAATGAAGGACACATCTAAGGTCGTTTTAATCTATGTCGCCGATCGATCGTTAATTCCGTTCGATTTTAACTTGCCTAGGCAAATTGTAATCGCTAAATTGCTTATTAACATTGACGAAGTGAGAAAAATTATTTCTACACTTTGTAGAGATTCATCTATACTATTATTATAATAAAGCGTAAACACACACTTCTTTGTTGCCTAAGATGTCAGCAATTACAGCATATTTTTGAATAATTCTTTTTTTAATAAAAAGCTCTACACTTACGTCACGCTTTAGGCTATATGTTTTCACGCCATTAAACTTAGGGGGTAAATATTTTGTATAAAAACCCTAATGTGGGAAAGAGACCATAAGTTGCTGCCAATATCAAGGAATCAAGACTACCAAGGTTTGACACCAACCTTTGGTTTTTTGGTTTGTCATGTCAGTTATACGTTTGCTATTGATAATTTGACAAATGTAAACAATAAAACATTTTCATAATTTCATGCGGATGCAGCCGCACGGGAACAGCTAGTATTTCATATGATTAGATCTTAGATTAATTTAATTTGAGATTTTTGACCAACTTCCCAAAAAAAGGAGGTACTCAATTCGTCTGTATGTTTTTTTTTAATTACCAAGGATTATAATTAAAAAACAATGCGATTGTAAAAAGTTTTTATTTGGCAAGATCCAGTCTTTATTACAATTAGAAAAAAATGACTTAGTTAAACAGAGAGCTTTAGAAATACGACATTTAAGTACATGGGCTTATTATGTTTGATTTTGTAAAAAATATTAGACAATAGTCCAAGAAATTAAAACTAATTTTAAACTTAAAGGAATAAATTACATTCTTATATAAAATTAGATTAATTATCAAGCAAAAATCATTACAAAAAATAGCTTTCTAAGAGCTTAAAAAAATTTTGGCTTAATTTCACAATTATCTTCAACATAAAACAAATATCTTGTCCGAAGATCAAATATCTTAACAGTAATTAAAAATGCAAATAATAAGTACTTAAATCATAAACTTGTATATCTTCTAACATTGTAAAAATGTTATTTTTTCCATACTTTGGGTGCATTTGGCAAGTATTAAACTATAGGTTATGTATTTAAAACGTTATTTTTTATATCAAAACTCATATAAAAAATCACCTTCATAATTTATTTTACTTTACAAGATTTGTCTCTTTTAAGAATTTATTTCACATTTTTTTCTTTCTTATATTTTTATTTGGTATTTATAAGAAAACATTACTGCTTTTATTTTATTTTAGGTTCTCGGTGGGGACATGTAGTGAGCTGGTGATGATGATGATGATTACTGCTTTTTAAGTATTAAGGCCTGTTCCAGCACTACCTGATACCTCAGATAGCTTAAAAATAACGCCACTGTCAGATAAGGTAACAAAATCCGATATTTATCAGACAATATACAATTTGGTGGGACAGGCCTTTAGCTTTTCTTACTGTCATTTCTCTCACATGTTTTGTTGCAAAAACTTTTTCTCGTTAATACAATTTTCTAATTCATCATGGTAATTATCGATTTTTGCATCCAACCCTGGACTTTGCACTTCGAAGCTATCTCCTGTTATTATTTTCTCCCTGTTCAATGTTGAATCGAATCTAACTTTCTTCCCTGGTGTATTTGGTTTGGTGTTTGACAAATCTACGTCATTCGTTCGTTCTTTAAGTGGAGTTACATTCATATTTAGTCGTGTATTTCTAATAGTTTTTATAGTTTCATATTCATTTTCTTCTTCAATCTCTTCTATTTCGATTTCATCAGAATTATCTAAATTTAATCCAGGATTTTCTATTCCAGATTCTTTTACCGGAGTTTTTGATTTAGCTGGTTTTCTCGGCACTTCGTAAGGATTTAAAGTAACATTATGTTCGACTTTATCACTTTTGAATGTCTTTTTTAGCGTTTTCATCACTTTTTTCGATAGTTTATTGATTTTGAATATGTTTTTCAAATTTTTACTATCATTTGAATCGGTTGTGATGTTATTATCGTTGTTTTTGTTTAAATTTAAAATATCCACTGCACTAAATCTTGATACATCGTGGCCTAAGATTTTGCTTTGTTTGTTATAATTTGTACTATTGGTATCTTCTATATTTTCGTAAATAGGACTTTCTGCTCTGTAACTATCTATATTCTCGTATACGTTTTCTGTATTCATAATCGATTCGTTTACAGTTGACATCGTACTGTTTGTATCACCAGTGAATAATGTACGAGGTATTATATTTCTTACCGGTACATTATTTGTTACTGGTCTTGTGATAGCTTCTATATTATATTCCATTTCAGATTTTGTCTCGTCGTTAAATGGATTTTCTATAGTAGTTTCGATTTTTGTATTTAAATTTGGATCTAAGAATGGATTTGTACATTTTTTTTGTATTCTCTTCTTTTTTGTAACTATCGTTATTGTTTTTATTTCCATTATGTTACTTTCGTTTAAATCATCGTCGAGATAGAGTGATTGGTTATCTGATGGTGAATTTAAAGCAAGTCTATCGATAAAGCTTAAATTCAAATTGCTCGTGTTATTAACAAATATTTGATTAGTTACATTCCTTTGTATGTTTGTAACATTGTTTATATCTGCGTCTAGATCTGTTGTGACTGTATTTAAAGATCTCTGTTCTATTATAGAGATCCCAGAATCAGATTCTCCCGTACTTAAACTGGTATCCGCAGCATTTTGTAAATCAAATACATTGTTTATAGAATTTACTGGATCTATTTGTGCTTCAGTCAAATTAGCATATAAAGGTTCACTACATTGTGCAGGATTTTCTACTGGACTTTCATATTTTCTGACATTCTTGCGTACATTATCTAACTCTCTTATTAAAAATTCATTGACAGCAGATCTACTGATACCTAAATCCAATGCGGTATTTTCAAATGCAATAATATCACAGCTTTTAGTCCTTTTCCGGCGTTTTCCTGGTGTAATTTCCATTGCATTGTTGCACATAGGGTCTTCGTTAGCAAGCAGATCTAATCCAGGGTTCAGAAATACGTTGGAGTTGGGGACTCTTTTTCTTTTACTTTTTAAATTGGATTTTACTTCGAATATATTGTTGTCTACAGGTTCCATGGTAAACTGGAAACAAAGATTCTATTTTATAAAGTTACTAGCTGTTGCTTGCTAACTGCTTGAGGGAAATTAAAAAATAAGAATATAGCCTATGTTACTCGCTGATAATATAGCTTTTTAATGGTGGAAGATTTTTTTTAATTTGGTCCAGTAGTTTTTGAGTTATCCAAATACATACAAAAATACAAATCTTTCCGCTTTATAACATAAGTATAGAAGTATAGATTACATCTGTTAAGCAGTTAAGCAATATTCAACAACTGGCTGGTGAAATGCTTTAATTTTTTTTCTGACTAGATGGATTAAGTTATCCATATTCTATGCAATTAAGTAAATTAGCTCCACTATCTTTAGATTATAAATTTTGTGTGTTCTTAAAACGCATTGTTACCATAGCACACTGGTAAACTATGCACAATATTATAATAAAAAAAATTGAATAATTAGTTATAAGTCTCTTGGTATGGGTGTTGATAACAAAGGAAATTGTTAGATCTTAAAATCTACTTATACATGAAGAATGTAATGATATTGGATGAAATCGGAAACTTCTTTAGTCTTTAAAAATAGTTCTTTTTAAAAAGTTTTGAATGTTACTTACCCATTTATTTCAAATGCAACTCGAATTCGTTAGGAACAAACTAACTATTAAAATGACAGTATCAAATAGTTCCAACTTTCATTAATGAAATTTGCGTTTATTACAATTTTCATTCATAATTCACCTTTTGTAATTTTCAAAACAAATGCTTTAATTAATCAACGGCAGGTGTTCGAGGACGGTTACACTTTTGACAGTTAAAGACGAATGTTGCCATTACTAAAAAATCATATGGACGTTCCCTCCATTTTTAAATAAATAATCAAAACGGGTAGACAAAACTTTAGGATAAGAGCTTAATGATACTTAAAAGAAAATGTTTAAGTGAAATTACCAAAATACTTCTTTTTCGAATATTTAATATGCAGTGAGTGACAAAAAAAAATTAAAATCTATGGTTGTTACTTTAAAAATTCCAAAGTTCGAAAACTAGATGGCGCTGTTTTGAATTGAATCAAATGGCGTATTTTCATCAAGCAAAAATTCTTTCTTACCAGTATATATATGTATTATCTACGTTTCTTACGGATTAATTCTAATTCTTAAATAGGCGATGAGGGGTTTTAAATAAAAACACTCAATGTAAATAAAATTTTAATGCAACAAAATCACAATTTAAGGTTACCGGAACCAATATCACAATTCACAACATATCACAACAGGACTAAGTAAAAAAATTAAGAAAATTCAACTAGAAATACCAGCACATTAAAATATTAAAAACACCTTCACCAACAATGTTACTATATTTAAACAAAATATGGAACTATAATAATACTAAGGGCCTGTTACAAAATTGTAAATTGTCTGATAACAATCCAACGTGTAATGTGATGGAAATATCGGATTTTGTTATCTGACAGTGACATTTTAAGCTGAGTCTATCAGTCAGTGGTGGGACAGGCCCTAAATGTTTCTATTTGTACTAAACTTTACGATTATTTTGTCTCTATTCTGTCAGACAATAAAAGCGATGACAATATTCATACATCTGTCTTTATCTAGGGTTAAAATATACAAATTTTATTTACAATATGTTAAAATTTTATATAGTTGTAATTTCTTTTAATATTGATGAGGCAAAACGTAACAACATACTATCAGCCTTACAAATAACAAACTTAGGAATAAACTGAATATAACCGAATATTAGTACAAATCTTGCTTTTACTCAGTTTATTCTTAACTTTATACCGTATTTATAAGGCTGTATAATTCTACGAACATTTTAAAACATTGTGATAATAAAACAAAGATATCTGAACCGGTAAGAGGCAACTGTCACGGTACAAAAGATATGTAAAACACTACACGAGTACAGAAAATTGCTAAAAAAAAGCGACGACAGTTTTAGTAGTTGACTACTTTTTGATATTAAAGAGGGCTTTAGTAAGCTGTTATAATTTAGTTTCACTTATGCCCACCGGAACAGATATCCTTGTAGGTCTATACCAATGGCAGATCCAGTTTTGGCGCAAGGGGGGGTCACATAGTCGTGATCAAGTCAAGAGCTTGACAAAATATATTATAACCAGCTCAGGGGGAGGGGGTTATGACCCTCATGACCCCCCCTCGATCCGCCCTTGGTCAATACTATAGAATACGACTGCAATGACATTTGTATTATTGCTGTTGTTAACAATAGAAGAAATGTATATATATACAAGTGTCAATGTATTATCTACAATTACATAACTGCTGTATATATTAAAAAAAGTAGTTATATTATATTTTGAAATGAATGAATACTTTTATTTTAGCGTGTGATTTTTTTTACATTTTTAAAAACGTCCATTTTATACAAATTGTCAAATTTATCAGATCTGATAAACGTCATGGTCAAGATAAATATAAAATAACTAATTTATCATGGCAGTGTGCATTAAGATTCTTTTCTCATACTAAGAGAGCGATTTGACTAAATTATCGCACAACTGTTATGTTTGTCGATTGTTTTGCAGCCTCGACTGTTGAGCAGAACTAAAAATCGAGAAGTAATATCCATATAAGCTTATAGGAATCAAAACAGGACTTAACAGGTTATGTGTTTAGTCAAAAGTGTACACTCTAAATAAATTCTAACTGAGGGTCTATCACGAATATTTGATAAACAATTGCGAGAACGTATTCGATACATCATTAACAAAAATGAGACAAAATATGACGTTTATAGATGTTATGCAAGGTAAGCCTCAATTTTTGTACGACTAGTTTTATGTTTATTTACCTTGAAATATATTAATTTCTATGTAAATTTGAAAGTTCACAATGAGCTGTAGATTTCGTTTGTCTATCGTGTTGTCGATGTTATGAAACAATTCTCACGGATATTCATGATAACCCTCTTTTAATCCATTTAAAAGTGTTGCCATTTGTTTTTCTAAACCGATTTTCTAATAGGAATGTTTTTTTCATTTTGAAGCGTTAACGTAACGAGAATAATATTAATTGACGAATTTGTTACTAATAATGAAATTCTAAATATTTATATAATAATTGACTTATATCTAAATTACAATAAAAAATAATGTGGTCCAATTAATGGTCCAAAAGGGTTTAGAAACGTATGCAATATAATTCCATGTATTATAATTAAAATTATATTCATTTTAAGGCTTTCTTAATGAATATAAATACTGTAGAAATTTAAACATAGTAAAATAACGTTTAAAAAAAATAAAAAGTGGCAACTGCATTACGCAGAGTCTCATCTTAAAGCATCGTTTCCTTCTACGTTAAATCTAAGGAAGAAGATTTAACAACTCTGAGTATAAAAGTAAGATTGACTCGAAATAAGATATCCTATCAAAAAGCGTGATAATGGAATATAATTAAAAAAACATAATCAGAGATTATGACTTTTAACAAATCTACCAGAAATATATATTAAAAATAAACATTTAAAAAATAGCCCCGATTCCACTTTACAATTTTTTTTAAATAAGTCCATATTTTTAAAATTTGTATAACCATTAATTCGATGGAGTTTTTTTTATACCAAAAACTGTTTTTTTTTTAATAAAGTCATATTTTTGTATATAAAATAAACTGCATAGTTTAGAAGATTTTTTTAAAATTAACTCTTTCGAATGAAGGATTAAAAGTATTTGGAAATCGATTTAATTATTAAATCTCGAACAAAACAAGTAAATAATTTCTTTATAAATAAGTACATACCAAACATATTACTTGCTCCAAACCAATAAGTGAAATTTTACACTAAAATCATAACTTTTCGTTAACGAATGAAACTATTTAAAAAAACACCGTTTCACATAAAAATTGACACAAAAATTGCATAGTGCATCTAATATCTGACCTTTTTTTACTAAATTTGATAATTAAAAAGCATTCTAAGTACTCAAAAGGATGGAATGACTTTTCATACTAAATTTATATTTAATCTATATCCAAATTTTTAAAGGCTTTCTCCATCGCTTTATCTCTTTTCTTATCTGGCAAAGCCTCGATCCTCTGATGCTCTTCAGCTTTGAAGTACGTCTCCAGATCTTGGAGCTGCTGCATGCAGCGCTTATGCAAGGTCTGGGTGTCAGGTAAGGTACCCCCATGGTCAGGGGGTAACGCTGAACGGGGTACTACCGATTCATAGAACTTCTCCAGATCCTCGTTTTTGTGATGGAATTTTATCTGCAGGTTTAAGATTATCTTTGCTTAAATTGTACGAGGCAATACATATACTAGTAAAATATATTTTGATGCCAGCTATTGGACCCAATTCGTAACCAAATGTCAGTAAATGTCAAGGAATCTCGTTGACATTTACTGACATGTGATGTAACGTCAAATTCGTATTACTTGCATTGTAATTACTGGAATGCACACGTTCACACATGCCAGTTTCATGCTAGTGTGTGTAACAGTGTTACTGGCATGTATATTCCAGCATACTAACGGGCATAAAAGTAAGTAAAAAAGTAACCTAAATAGACAATTAGAAAATGAATTTTTACAGAACTATAATTTGAATTATAGCTCACGGGTTAAGCCCTTGACCTGCAAATCCTGGGTCCCAAATCTGTCATTAACTAATGTATCAATTTTCGAATTTAATATATACATTTCCCCTGATTGAAGGAAAACATCGTGACTAGACATAAATTCAGAGACTTAGTTAACCTACAAGGGCGAGAATGAACCATTAGGGTAGCTTTAGTGAGGACCTGATATCATCCACTTCCCCTAATCCCTTACGGAGGGTCGGCACAGTATGTGCTGCTCTTCCATCTCTATCAGCCATCATATCTGAATCCACTCCTATCTTAAGCATATCTTTCACACAATCCATCCATACTTTCTTCAGTCTTCCTATACCTTTGTAGCCGTCCATATTCAATCTTAGTGGGGACTTATAAACAAAACTTTATTCTCACCATATCGAAGAACTTTTTATCCATAAAAGGCCGTATGAGAAGCAATAGTTTGTCCAAAACCGGCTCAGTATTGAACACGTGGATGGCCTTCATACGCACGGGCAGCGCCTCCTGCACGTATTGGAAGAACTTACGCAACGATCTGTAATTTAGTGGAAAATTAAAACATGCATGTAAAAAACTAGCCTAATGGTTTGGGGTACGGACTACCGATTTTACGGTCCAGAGTTCGAATCCCGCCATTCGACTATTGTGAACCATTTCCTAGCACAAGCTTAGCTTAGTTGAAATGGTTTAAGGGAATATTAGTAAATTAACAAAAATCTACTAATATTTTTTATAAAAGAAGTAATACAAAGAGTTCAAGATATCCTAAGTTTAACAAGGATTGGTCCAGCATCTACTAAAGTCTAGTCACATATAGATTAAGGGCCTGTCCCACTGTAAATTGTCAAACAATTCAACGTGTAAAATATATGATGGAAATACAGTAGAACCTCGATAACTCACACCTTAACTTAAAAACCTATATAACTTAAAAAAATAATATGTTCCCTTCCCATCTGACCCCAAAACCTCTATAACATAGACCCTTGATAACTTAAAACCTCTATAACTTAAATATTTTGTGTTTCCCTTAGACTTTAACTTATCGAGGTTCTACTGTGTAGGATTTTGTTACCTTATCTGACAATAACGTCATTTTTAAGCTATCAGAGTCCATCAGCCAGTGGTGGGACAGGCCGTAAATCTTCCTTCATAAATATTTCAAGTTACATCTCTACATAACCTGATTAATATAAAAGCGTGAAAATACGATTAAAGGAAAACAGAAACGTTTTTAACAATAGTAATTAATTCCCTGAGAATATTTACGTAAATATTTTTAATCTGTGCTTTTTTATGCTTTGGACTTTTTTAGTCTATGTTCATATTACGTTTTTGGCGGGAATTGAGTTCAATGTTGTATTAAATCTGAGTTATCAGTGTATACCGGTAGAAGTCTAGAGACAGATGCATTAAGAGAAGACATCAAGAAGGGAGTGACAGAGATGAAAATAGTTTAATCTGGTAGAGGAAAACCTGGCGAGATCTACGGGAGTAGTATTTTTTAGATGGATGATCATTAGAGTTTGTAGACTTAACTAAAGAAATCTCGATGTTCGGCATAGAGTAGTCTGGAAGAACACATAGGCTACTTACTTATTTTTTAATACATTATTCTTTTTAATATTCTTGTAAATACAGTGGCCTTTTATTTGCTGCCTTGTGTACACACAAAAACTGGTTAAATTAACATTTGACTGACTGTAAAAAATATTACGTGCGAGACGTTTTTTGGCATTTAACGGATGTGTTAAAAATAAAATACATTACATGACATATACTATTATTATTACTATACTGATATAATAAAGAGGAAAGATTTGTATTTTTGTATGTATTGAAATAACTCAAAAACTACTAACAAAAATTCACCATTAAAAAGCTACGTTCGTTCATAGGCTATGTTTGACCGACTTCCTAACAGGAGGTACTCAATTCATCTGTATGGTTTTTTTATGTGTGTTACGGCATAACTCCGCCGCTAGTGGACCGATTTTGATAATTCTTTTTTTATTGGAAAGGTAATGCTTGCAGGTGGGTGTTTGATTTTTTATTTTTTTAACGCGCGAAGTACCGAGCCACATTTAGTACTGAATAGCGATATAATATCTTTAATTATTTTAAAAAGAAATGGATAGCAGTAAGTTTTAATAGCAATGAAAACACACAGTTAAGTTATATTCATAAAAACTGACATTGCAAATGTCCATATGCCCGTGCCAAGGTCATGGCCACGCCATATATAGACTCGAACTTGTCAAATATGTTCGTAGTAATATTGTCCATAAAAATAAAAAATTATGAGTACATTTTTTTATCGAAAGATATTCAAAATTAAACATTAAAAAAATACGCGGGAAATCATACTAATATTATAAATGCGAAAGTTTAGATGGATGTTTGTTAGTTTGTAGACTAAACGGCTGAACGGATTACGATGAAAGGTATAGATGTAGAGGATAGTCTGGAAGAACACATAGGCTATTCACTTTTGTTTTTTTTAATTTCATGCGAACGGAGTCGCGGGCGAAAGCTAGTTTTAATATACAATATGTGTTGCGACAATTTGCATAATTGCAATGTACAATTACCACATATTAAAATTTGCTTTAAATTGTTATAATAATATGTCTTCTCGTGGTCATTCAATTTTCATGAGAAATTTATAATAAGTATAACTGAGAACAAAATCCTCATTTAATTAATACAAAAACTTAACAGAAATACACAATCATACTAATATTATAAATGCGAAAGTTAAGATGGATGGATGTTTGTTAGAGTTTGTAGCCTAAACTGCTGAACGGATTTCGAAGAAATTTGGCATAGATGTGGAGAATAGTCTGGAAGAACACATAGGCTATTCACTTTTGTTTTTTTCAATGCCTCGCGGACGGAGTCGCGAGCGAATACTAGTTATTAATAAAGTAATACAATTTATCTAAACTAATATTATAAAGAGGAAACATTTGTGTGTGTGATTGTAATAGGCTCAAAAACTAGTGGGCCGATTTTAATTCTTTCACCGTTAGAAAGATAATTTACCAGTAAAGGTAATTTGTGAGTAACATTAACATAGGTTGTATTTTTTCATTTCTTTATTATTATTTCTAAATTACACGCGGACAGAGTCGCGGGCAAAAGCTAGTAATAAATAAATTTATCATAGCTTCAGTTAGCACGCAAATTTGAGTTTTTTTTTAAGGAAATATGATTTACAGATACATATTTTTTCACCATACCTTTGCTTGTCCTTTTGAAAGCTAAAACATAACAATATATACATATACTATTTTTATATATTAATTTAAGCTTCAATAATTAATATTAGAAAGCGTCAACATCCTAATGGTTTGAGGTACGGAACGAACCTCGCGGTCAAGGGTTCGAATGCCATTTGACTATTGTGAACCATATCCTAGCACAAGCCTACAGCTTAGTTGGGATGGTTAAAGGAAATATTAGTTAATTAACCAAAATTTACTAAAAAAATCAAATATACCTTTGATCATAAATATTTCTATAACAAAAGCATGAAAAAATAGTCACAAATAACTTTTTAAACCTAAAAATCAATATAAGATTATAATTGTCGCAAGGTTAATTAAGAGGGCGAGCGGAAGCGTCTTCATAGATTATGCCGTGTGCCATAGATAGTAGTAAAAAAACTGTCACAGAGCAATAAAGGAAATTTCAAAGATTAATTATGAATGCTTGTCTCTGACGCGAACGAGGTATAAACATTCATGTTAAAAACTCGATTTAAAAATGCGAACGAAATAGACTTAAAAATGATACTAAATTCGAATAAAAAACAAAAATTAAAATTATATATTAGTATATGTTCGCTAAACTAGAATAAGCTGCATTATCAATGGTACTAACACCAATGCTGGGTTTCTGAAGTTTTTATTTATATGATCATTATATAAATAGAAACTTCAGAAACGCATTTCACAAACTTATCCCACGTCCCACGTCGCAAAAGGTGAAACTTTTTATTCTAATCTGTTCCCACGTGTGGACAGGGCGGGGTGACGGTTGGGAATATCCGAGTATCGGCATACACGTCCCCATCTGACAGCTGTCAATGTCATCCAGACGTATTGGAATATTCACCATTTTGACGGGATCAGTAGCATTTAGTGTTTAAATTAATTATGCTAGTTACAATATTTATTGCCTAAAAGTAATAAAACCGAATAATAATACTTACGACAAACCAACTCTAGTTAGATGTCCCAGTTTAACACCTCGCATATCGAACAGGAATATGTATCCAGGCTGGGGACCCCGTTTGCATAGACATGCATCTGGAAATGTATGAAAAAATTATATTAATAAGTGAAGAAAAATTTGTATGGGATCCAAATATCTTAGACGGAAACATCGTAACAATTTTTGGTGTAGCCTAAAAGGATACGGGGAGTGTAATGCACAGGATGCTAAAGAACTTGGGTTGCCAACATATTTGAAAAAGAATATAACATAGTTCTTTTTAGGGATTTATAAGTAATATAGGAAAGTGATTTTTTTAACAAATACAATCTTTGATTATAAATTAACGAGCTGTTGCCCGCTTCGTCCGCGTGGTATTAGAAAACATACGAACTATAAAAATAACAAAAAGCTACCTATCCCTCGGGAACCGGACATTTCTAGGGGATGAACCTCATCCCATGTGTACTCCAGACTTTGTTTTATATCTGTGCCAAATTTCAAAAGGATATGTTGAACCGTTGCAGAATGATCGAGTAAACATTAAAAAACTAAATTAATGAATCCCACAGGAACCGTAACTATTCCCGGGATAAAAAGTACCCTATGTGTTCTTCCAGACTAAGCTCTTAACCTATGCCAAATTTCATGGAGATCCGTTCAGCCGTTTAGGCTACAAACGCTAACAAACATCGATCCATCCATCTAAACTTTCGCATTTATAATATTAGTAAGATGTCGCATTTCGATCAATTGGCGACAGCCGTAGTTTTGTAATGCGAATTAGTTTCACAAAAGCCTATTAACCTTAAAGCTGATAAAAAAGGGGACATAGAAACCGTCTAAGGCCCAATATATGCCATGAAGAATTAATTCTGCTTCAATATCCTCGTTCGAAACATAAATTATACAATTAAATATTGCGGTAACCAGTAACAATAAATCCAACAATCATAATTACGTTCAGATAATTTCACAACTCGAACACGGACATTGCAACACAAAAGGTTCTGCTGAAATCGCGTTTTTACTCACAAACAAAAGACTGCATTACACTAGCTGTTCTCATGCGATTTCATCCGATAATAATCAAAACTTAATTATTTTCATGCTGTCAAAAATTGCAAATATCAATTCAAAAATGTATTTTTAAAATGTAGTCTTTTGTTATTGGCTAACAATTACAGTTTTCGTCCCTTTCTCACAGCTCTATTTTCAGGTTTATTCACCCATTGAGTTTAATAGTGTGAAAATATATAGCCTAAAGCGTGTCGTAAGTATTAGACTTTTAATTACACAAAGATTTATTAAAAAAATTGATGTTATTGCCGAGATCTTATATAACAAAAATGTGTGTTTACGTTTTATTACATTTGTATGGAAAGATATAGTATTCTCTGTTTTCTAAAAAATAGAAAGAGATGGCATAAATTAACTTATGTACTACAGTTAAATAATATTTAAGTTCGATTTAACGGCGGATGCAGGGGGAGGGGGCGTCATGAACCCCCCTTTT